TGGGTTCGAGTCCCACCCGAGTGATTTTTTCAAACTTTCACTCGGGAGGTACATGTAACACACTGAGTTTACAGTATTTATACGTCAGTGAAGGGCAAAACCTATTTGAATAATACAGATCTTGGAATTCCCACCCCACCAGGATGATCAGTTCACTCACAGAGCAACCTCAAAATAAAATGCCCTTTAGAAAGAATTGTAGATGCCCAAAATTATAAATAATGTATTTCTTTCGTTAAAATAAATCATACAAGTTTAAAATTCCTCAGGTTCTTTCCTTTCATGGGGCATTTCCATGTTAAAATAACCAACTTGCTAATATTTGTGTTTTTACTTTATTGCCCATATCACTATGTACCCACTGAAATAAAAAAAAATTAAATCACCACAATGCATTTGTATAATTTTGATCAAAACTTATCCAGAATTATGACATTTTTAGGTAAAATTGCGTGACATTTTTACAGCTTGTCCAATGGTGCACAGTTTTCATTCTTTCAATTGATAAATTTGGTCCTTTTTAATTCTAAATGATTGATGATAACCCAAAACTTAATAATAAACACAACGTTAGTGCATCGGCAACTTTGTATCATTTTGACATGCCCGCTAAAAATACCATCACTCTGTAACATTTGGTGTCAGCAAATCCTGTTACAGAGTGAACTTTACCATTGATTATAATATTTGTAGAAACTGTCAACTATTCTAAATTTTAAAGTGATTATTGAAGTCTTTTATTAAATAAAGAGACTAAAGAAGACCAAAAGTGAAATTCAAAGAAGTACAAGAAATATACCAATTTTAAATATTGGCAGATCAATTTGGTGTCATCAAAAAACGTTACAGTGTGATACTTTGCAGCTGCACTCTGAATTTGTCAAACTGTATTTGTCAACAAGTTTAACTAAAAATATATCCTGGATGTTGGCTTGGAATATAGATGTCATTAAATTTTGAATCCTTCTCTTAGAATTTGAAATAAGAGGCAATAAAGGTTTGGTGTCAACACTGACTCCGTTACAGGTGAAATACCTATTTTCAGCTGACACAATGAAGCAAAAGCACCTGTTTGATTGATGATTGAGTTTTTAGCTAAAATAATGACTAAGTTTTTTAATACAATGAAAACTTTGGCATAGAACAGGTTAAAGTAGAACTACAGTGAAGAAAAGTGATAAAAGTGTTTTTGGTGTTAGTGTCAGCGTTACAGGTGAAATGATTATTATAACAAACTCTGATATTTAAACTTCCAGTCTCAGAAACAAGTATCTGATGTAGAAACCATCAAGCTTATCACTAAATAGAAAGGTTTAAATGGTTTGATACCATTTATTACTATTATTATTAGTTAGTTGTAGGATTGTCAATCTGTAACAGTGACTATTTGGTGTCAGCGTTACAGGTGAAATGTTGGTTAACACCAGGCTTTACTTACAATAACATGCTTTCTAGTGGTGTTTGTAAATCTTCATTGTTCTTCATAGTTGCAGTTTTGGCTGTCAAACTTGCTTTTAGAGAACAAGTGAGTGTTTGTCTTTAAATAATATAATTTCATGTCAAGTGAGAGCTACATTTTTGTAATCATCATAATATGTCAAATTTCTTAAAATTTGATATTTGATTTTCAACAAATGTTGAACAAGGAAAGTGTTAAAGTTTTTTTTTAACTTATATGTGTTGCAAATAATTGCTTAAAAAGCAACATGTCTTTACCATACCTGAACAATAACCTGGTGAGAGCTCTAAAAGAAATTAACAATTTGGTGTCACTGTTACAGGTGAAATTTGTGTCCCATATGCCAGTTAATCACGTTGCTACTCTAAAAAGGGTCATGTTACAGAAAAATGGTTTTGTTTTTGACAAAATATAGACCCTAGACTGCAAAACCATGTGAAGCTGAATTTAACTTGGTTATTTTGAAAATTTGACCCTAATGTCACACACTGGCCTCCACATTTATGTAAACACCCATATGCACATGCGCTGCTGCACGTAGAATACCAAATTAGCTTATTGAAAGACAAAACAATATTGAAGACCCTAACCATGTGAATACAATTTCACAATGCTTTTGTCATTTTTTTCTGCATATAGTTTAACTTGAAGTTTAACTAAGTTTATTTTGTGCTGAACTTTTTTATTGGGTTGGTGTAACACAAAACTACAAATCCTTGCATGCAGGGTGACACACTATGTTGCTGTTAATAATAGCCGAAGTTTAAGTTGAACCTTAAGTTTAACTAAGTTTATTTTGTGCTGAACTTTTTTATTGGGCTGGTATATCACAAAACTACAAATCCTTGCATGCAGGGTGACACACTTTGTTCCTGTTAATAGCCGAAGCGTGCAAACAATCTAATATTGCTGTTTGCATGAGGAACACAAAAAGAAAAAGAACTTCGTCTGTCAGAAATGTAAAATGGTGAAAGTGATGTATAGGCTCTCAGGGTTTTATAGCCTATACTGAGTTCCGAAACTCATTTATTTTCATGAGTGTTTCAAGTACCAGAGTCTCTCAACACAAGCACATGTAAGCTAGAAAAATTGATGCCCACTTCTAAAATGTCTAAATATTAAACTGCAAAACGTCTCAGACAAACATTACCACAATTTGAAATGTGATGGATGCCCTGTTTCATTATCAGACGGCTTACAGTGTAAAATGCAAGATAACTACCAGTACATGTACTTTGCTAAAAGCTCTTAGATGTCTTTTTTGTTCATTGCCAATTTCACTCACACTCTACTTGAAAACACAATCAATCAACATCTTAGGATTATTTAATGGACATTATTTGGTGGAAATTACATTGAAACCTGGATGGTGAGATGTCATTTTCTCGAGGATGACACAAGGGGAGCGAACTTTTCCAGTCATCGGAGCCTTTTTGATTTGGCAGCCGTAACAAGAGTTTACCTAGTCCGACCTAGGCGCAATTTCATGCCCCTGCTAAGCACACAATTTTCTTAGACCGTAATTAAGAAGTAAGCAGTAAGCACAGCACTGAGCACTGAGCCACTCGTCCAATCTCTCTGCACGTTATTTAATCTGTCCTTATCCACAGGCGATGTTCCCAAAGACTGGCGTAAAGCGAATATCTGTCCAGTCTTTAAAAAGGGTAAAAAAAGATGACCCTTCTAACTATTCCCCTTACATCAGTCACAAGCAAATTACCGGAAAGAATCGTCTCTAATCACCTCACCAAGCATTTGAATGACAATAACCTCCTTAATGATAATCAACATGGCTTTAGAAAGAAACGCTCCTGTGAGACTCAACTACTTGACGCAACCCATGATTGGAGTAGCACCTTAGAATCTGGCTCCAGCGTTCACATTGCTTTTTTTGATTTTTCCAAGGCCTTTGATACCGTTTCACACATTCTCCTTCGTGAGAAACTAAAATAAGTAAGCACAGCAAAAACACGCTTAACCCCAGAGGAAGAAGTTTGCTGAAATCAGTAACGTAATAATAGAAATCTCCACCCACGCGCAGCTGTCAGCACATCAACGCCATGAAATTTTTTATTTTTTTTATTTTTATTTTATTGTAATTTTTAACAAGGGTAGTCCAAATAGTGCTTAAGGTTTTCACAAATTGCTTACGCTGGCCAAATCATCATTCGCATGCCCTCAAATTCTTCGGTATTAGAGCATTTTATAGGCCATGAACTCGAGGGTTTATTTGTAAAAAAAAAAAGGGTAGAAGCCGTGCACAAGACTGTGAACTTGTATTTCTGTAAAATTTGGATGAAATTGGAGCCTAAAACGCTCTATTTTGCAATTGAGCGTAGGCATTGTTTTCAAAATGGCGATGGGCTTCAGGACCATAGGGGTGATCATCTTCGGATGGAAATTTCTCCCAAAAGTCATGGAATTACCCCCAATGATTGAACAGAAAAAGAAAGATGATTAAATAAGCCTTAATTTGATGCATGTATTGAACACCTCGGAGAGTTGTGAGTATTTTTAGTAATTTTGGGAAGTGCGCGTAATTACCATTAAGGTCTATGGCAGTTTATTTACTGGTCTGGACACTTACATGTAGGCCTACTGATTGAATGGCACGCGTCTGAATAAGCCTCTGTACTAATGACGTCATACTTTGTTTACGTGTGTGTTTTCCTCTGGTGCTCAGTGGACCGTGGGCCCCCACTGGCTCTATAGGAAAGTGCACATACGGCATCATCATTCAGAGGCCCATGTTGATGGGTCTTTGTTCCTCAAGTTTACACATGGGTAGATGCATTGTGATTTCATTTTCACCTAACTTAAATTACAAAAACTGCCCTGAGCAGTGAGGGAGCACAGTGCAAATGGTCAATATGACACAATACAAAAATATACCCTGTCCACTATTTGGATTGTTATCCCACTCTAGCTAGGCCTACACGTACTCACGAGAGCCAAAATAAGATAAGAGGCCTGTCAGATGCTCACAGTAGAATCATGTATGCGTGATAGATCCTATCATAAGAGAAACACATAACATAAAGTGTCGTATAATTAATGAATATAGTTACATTTTTATTGCGTATTAAAGATGCAGTCTATCGGCGCCGTGAGAGTCCATAATTGTTGATTGGTATTACAAAGGACAACTGACATGACTGTATCACGTTCAAGGGCGGATCCGGGGGGGGGGGCCCCCCCAAAAAAAACGAAACCAATTTTTTTTTTTTTTATGTGACATCGCAATAAAGGCAGGCAATGAGTACACCACCATCTTTTTCTCAAAAAACATTGGTTAAAGTGGTCAGAAATTGCCTCAGATCGCACCACAGAGCATCTAGAATCCAAATTTTTTTTCGGGGCCCTTAAGCAGGCCCCGAACCCCACGCCGTAATTTTTTGACCCACTTTTTGGGGGGACCAAATTTTTTTTGGCCCCCCAAAAATTGTGTTCTGGATCCGCCCTTGATCACGTTTGAGAATGACAGTATCAAAATTTACCACCTTTTTTCTCAAAGATAATTTTTTTGTGACTTTGGTGACAGGTTTTGCGAGGAGTGCAGCCGTTATGTATCCCCTGAGAATGTGCACTGCAAAGACTGTAAGAGCTGCACCTCCAAAGATGGAAGTACGTACACGCACTGCAAGCTGTGTAACAGATGCGTCAAACCAGGTAATACAACTTTCATCATTCTTTGGCCATAAGATGCTCAGCTAAAAGTATTGCTTAGTAAGTTTTGCACTAAACCAAAATCAGCCGGGAACCACACAGGCAACGTAAATCGCATTACATTTTGACTGGTAACCTCAGCTCAGCAAATGTCTTAAGCGTGGTTTCCATATCGACGTTAAGCTTACGCTGACTGCACAGACAGTACGCAGAACTGTTGGCAAAGTTTAACCAGGCTCAACTTTGCCGATCGTCTGCGAGGTAGTTTGCATCTGTCTGGGTTGTCGGCGACACTTCCCGATGAAATGTTTCCATATGTCTGCGTTGCAGTTTGGATCCTGTTTGCATTTCACTTTGCATGTCTTTAACGTTGATATGGAAACTAGGCTTTAGTCTGAGGATCTGACATTCACGTGGCAGAGCCTCGGAACGTCTGATATATCATAGCATGTAAATTGTATGCAACCCTGCACGCCTTTAGAAACTGTGACATCATTTCGATTAGAAATGTTGACTAAGCTTTGGATTGGTTAATTTGGATGCCATGTTTTTGTAATACAACAACTGGTTAAAATATGGAAGATCCGATAGAAGGCTCCAGCTGAATGGTCAGAATATCGAGGTCAAGACACAGTCTTGTTTTGCATAATTAATTGCCACATCTGCTCGCATATCTTAGACCCTTGCTGTGCATATTCCATAGACTAATATGTCATTGCCCGATCCTTGAAATTGGCTGAAATTCTTGCCTTACCTAAAGTTAGAAGTGACCTGCGTTGTTGGACCCGATTCCGTCTTGAATCAAAATCATGAAACGGGCTTGACTTGATTAACTCGTGAGTCATGTATTATATTTTAAAAACATAATTCGAATGTTTATTTTCCAAAATTAATTAATGCTGAAGAACGTTAAGCACATGAACTGTACCGCACAACTCTCCGAGTGGATTTGTGAATTAAATTGTGAAACTAAACGTTATTAAATTCAAACTTCTTAACAACAACAATTGGTCAGCTTAATAGCTGTCATAATTGAGTGAAAATGTCCAAGACCTACGTGTAGTGTATAACGTTGTTTACTTCGGTAGCAGTGTTATTTCTTGGTTTGTCTGTCTTGGCGACCGTTGAGAATAGTTGCATGTGGGTCTGTCCACACTAACGGTTACAACTTACATGTATGACTTTATGGGTGAGACATGGGAGGTGGATTTCAAAGCAGGTTTTTTTCGCTAATTTTTTTTTTTTAAACATTCCTGTATTATTTCGTGATTGCACAGATAAATAATTAGGCTGATTCACTGAATATGTAGGAAATTACTCGGCCATCTTTAAGATGAAATGAAGGATAATGTTCATAACATGTAAAAAGCCCCGGTTGCAGGAAAGTTTAAAATGGCAGCAATCTTGAAAAAAAAAAAAAAGCCCCTCTTCCTCCTTTTTTTCCAAAGCCCGGACGAGAAACATGTTTGTTTTTTTATTCGGCCCAATGTGAACGACCCAGTGCAGTGCCTACATGTATGCAGATTGCCCAAGTGGCGTGCCCAGGATTTGGCTCGGGAGGGGGGGGGGGATGCTCACCAATTGTTTTTTGTTGCCCAAAATTTGTGGCTGCAGAATTTATATTTTTTTGGGGGGGGGGAAAGGGGGACGGACGATTTTGACGTTGGAGCACACCCCTATTTTACTACTCGAAAAAAGGCCACATACATATCAACACGGTCAAATCTAAAAAATGCTAAAAAAAACCCCTAAAAACCGGGGGGGGGTGGGGCTTTAGCCCCCAAGCGCCCCCCCCCCCCCTCCCTTGGGTGCGCCACTGGTTTGCCCCTCTGCTGCAGGTGTGAGAGGTGACGTAGCGCCCTCTGCTGTGCACACAACCATACACGATATAGAAATCTTATTTTCCATCTTGGCCTTTATTCCCGTATCTCGCCGGAATCTGCCTTTGTCGCTTACATGTAGAAATGTAATAACAAAAATGCAATTCGTTAAGCAAACAACACTGGAATTGACCTATACCGACCTTGAGCTATATCTTCTGGGAATTTGTCTTTCTTTTTAGTATTGCCTGAAGAAATACAATTTATTTCATACGGTCGCAATTTTATTTCTTTTTGGGGATTTTCCCCAAAGAGCAGCTGTTATTAACGATCATTATTACAGAAATGATTAAGTCTCTTACCACAATCTTTCAATTTCCGCCCCCAAGGCAACTTTCTTCGGAAGTCTGTTGTCTCTTTTATCTATTAAAATTTCAATCTATTCCCGGAAAGGTTCTCCCGAATCCATTTATTATTTCTGAGAAGAATAATCTTAATAATTGTCGGTATTTTTTTCACGAAGAAATCATAGTATTGTAGGTCTTCAATGCAAAATAACGTCGTTGTAAACTACTAATGGAGATTATATAAAACGCACCCTTGCAAGATGTTTATTGTTATAATTTTAATTAAATTTCCCTAGTGGTTTGTTTGATAATTCGTAATAAAAGCTGTATCCTCTATTCCTCTCTGAGTGATCCCCATTTGCTATTTCCCGGGTTTGCAGCATTGCTGATGTTGCTACATGAAGTATCTTGACTTGGGGCAATATCCCTGGCTACATGGCATATACAGGTTTATGGCTTCTGGCTAGCACCCCTTGAGCAAAGACATTATAGGGACCATGAGAAATTATACAAATCCAGTTGGTTATATCACCCTTTTGTGTGATCTATAGATCTTCAGTTTGATGTGAAATACTCATTGCCCTCAGTGTTTCAGTCTCAGATGAAATAACCGCGAACAATTGTGATTTAACAGGCAACTTTTTGTCGGAGCAGCATACACATGTACGTATCCCATACGTGTACCATTTTAATGATCCCTATTGACAAAATGGGAACCCACCAGCATTGGGCTGGATGGCTCAGTTGGTAGAGCACCGGATCAATCCGGAGCCCGCAGGTTCAAACCCCACTCAAATTTATTTGTTCAAATTATTGCCCAGTTATAAAAATTGTTAATATGGCCCGGCCTTCCACTCGCTTTGACTCTTACAACATCTCAGTTCTTGGGCCAGTTGTACGAAACAACAGAATGACCCTTCTTACAATAAAGTAATAGGCCTAGTAACTTGTCTTTGGCGTTTCTGGAAACCTCGATTTGGTATCCGGTTCGGATTCAAGAATCTTAGACTCCTTTACTTTGGGGATTCCTTTACAAGGAGAGGCCCATGCTCTGTTACAGGAAATCACATCCTGTTAAATGTAGTTAATGTTTGCGTACATGTAGGCCAATACTCTGTTGATTGAATCGAAAGTGGTTTTCAGTCCTTGTTTTCTTGATATCAAATTTCATTTTCATGGAACTTGGATCAACTTAACGAACAACTGTATTAAAATTGACGGATCATTTTTCAGCTTAAAGATTACCCTATTTTCACAACAGAAATGTTGACGTATCACGAATGCGATGGTTGCCATGGATATCTTTCAAAGTCATTCAACAGTCATTTCGTGCACCGCAGTTGGAAGGATTACCCCTAATGCCAACGAATGGTTGAAATCCGGCTCATTGTGTAGACCAGATACATGTATGAAAAGACGAGCCGTATTCCTTCGGGAGGTATCACCATGATCACTAGGAAACTCTGAAATTTGACGTGTAGCTTTCTATCTGCCAATGTCTGGAGATGTTCGACATCACTCCAGATAATTATACTAGAGGCCCTATTGTATAACTTCCCTATAGCAATGCTGCACAACTCGTCTTATATACATGTATTTAATGTATCATGAGATTAGGCTTTTGGTGTAGATATATCTTCTATACAGTGTAAATAAATTATATACTTCCATGCATGAACAGTAGAGGGAAACCTCGTTCCCAGAGTCTGCGTTTAACCTCGAGAGAAATAGAAGACCCCCCGGAGGAGCAATCCTGTATTCTGATTCGATATCCTGCTGTAGCAAGGTAGCAAGTAATGGATTTATATCGTGTACTTCGTGATTTTATTTCTAACGTGTAGTATGTATTTTAAAATTCATTGTGAAATGCCCTTCAATTGAGTTTTTCAATTCGGTCAACGATTATTTCCATAATGCCACAACTTTTATAAACAATATTTACAAAGTGAAGTAATGAATAACATTATTAAGATTATACATGTAGATATAGAAAGAAAGAACAATAAATCAATATACAATTAAGGAGGCATCTTCAGAAGCCGGGGGTTTATATGGAGGTGCCTTGAAAAAAATAAAACCGAAATGACAACTCAACAAATACAGAGACAGACTAACAATCGGATAAACATAAATACAATACACAAGAGATGAATGTAAATATTGAGGGATAAAACAAAAAAGAGTATGCCATCAATAAATAACTCATGCAACTAGTCAAAGATCAAATCTATGCATAAATATATAAGTAAAAACATAATCGAAAATAAATATATAAATAAACAGATGAATCAGCTGATCAAACACAATAAACTTAACAGTAACGAATTAGTTAACAAACAAAACGAATGATATTGATAGGCAACAAATTCATTATAATCTTACACAAAATAACCAACAAAACAATCAATTGGTAAAAAGGAATCCACGAAGAAAATAAACTCTAAATGAGACATGAGACATTTAACTTATCAAGTATTTAGTGTATGAGTTGGATGGGTAAGATTGACATATTACAACTTTAAAGATAATCTGTATTTTACAATGTCACGCCACGACGTATTGAATCCGTCTGTACCATGGATACCGCATACAAAAACGAACAATGATTGAAAACATGGTCAGGTACCAGAGTATTCCGGACCGAATGGGCAAGATTTTTTGACTCGCAACTAATCCATGCAGTGCCAGGTCGAGAATGCTGCCAGTTGGAGCGTACTGCTCGATGCCATGGGAACAAGGTTGCAGTGAGATGGACACACCTTATCTACTCCCTTTTCTTGATACCAAATGTATTTTCATAGATATATTTTCACCAACTTGGATCAAGTTGACAAAC